TCCATTCCTAAGGCCTTCAGATCCTGCTTGCAGATGTCCTTGTATTGCAGCTGTGGTTTCCCTCTGGGGCGCTTTCCTGCACTAATTTTCCATACAGGAGATCCTTTGGAATCCCACCATTAGCCATTCTCATGATGTGCCTGAGCCAACGTAGACGTCACTGTTTCAGTAATGTATATATGCTAAAAATTCCAGCTCGTTTTAGGACTACTCTATTTGGAATTTTGTCCTATCAGGTGATACCAAAAAATCCATCAGAGGCAACACATATGGAATGTGTTCAGCTCCCTCTCCTGCCATGCACAAAGGGTCCAGGACTCACTGCAGTACAGGAGTGTGCCCAGGACACAGGCTCTATAGACCTGGATCTTGGTATATGTCGTCAGTTTCTTATTGAGCCATACTCTCTTTGTGAGTCTAGAGAACATGGTAGCTGCTTTGCCAATGCATTTATCCAGTATGACATCTAGAGAGAATGTGTCAGAGATCGTTGAGCCAATGTACACGAAATCATGAACAACTTCCAATTCTTGTGTGGAGATGGTAATAGAGGGAGGTGAGTCCACGCCCTGGCCCATGACTTGTGTTTTCTTCAGGCTGATTGTTAGTCCAAAGTCTTGGCAGGCCTTGCTAAAACGATTCATGAGTTGTTGGAGGTCTTCAACAGAGTGGGCAACAATGGCTGCATCATCAGTGAAGAGGAAGTCCCATATGCATTTCTGTTGGATTGTGGTCCTCAGTGTCATTCCAGAGAGATTAAAGAGCTTTCCATCTGGAGGTTCCTGGTATGCAGCTTTTAATTAGCACAGTATTATTCTTATTCTTTCCCCTTTTTTCCTCCCAAAAGTACCAGTAAAGCTTGAGCAGTGAAATAGAATTTTAAGATTTTCCCCCTCAAAGAATATAAGGAGAAGCAAATTTTAGAGATGGGGCTAAAGCAGTGCTCTTTGGATATGATAACTGGTAAGGTCCACTTTCCTCTCCCACAGAGAGAGAGAGACCAACCAACTATGACCAATTGGGGCAGAATTTTGTCTTACCTAGATAAGCCCTAGGAAGGAAACAAAGGGTAACTCAAATAATTGTGTGTAACCTGCTAGCTCTGATAAATATGTCACTTAAAATGGAAAAAAACAGAATTTTACAGAGAATTTAAAGAAAAAAAAGCCACCCAGCCAGTGTCAAGTACTTCCTTGAATTAATGGCTCGCACCTTTAGTGATCAGCTATTCAGTTACTGAATTCTCCATCCATTTTTTTCCTAACTGAAAGGTATATTCTGGCTATCTAACTTCTCCCTATCCAAAGAAGGAGAAATCAGTGAACTTATGATTGTGTTTTGGAAATTATTTGTTTGCTTGTTTGTTTGTTTGTTTATTTATTTATTTATTTAGCCGTGTCATTATCAATGGTCTCTGAGCATTTCCCAGCCTTGTTGTGAATACATTTTAAGACTCTAGTGGAAGGGTTATGACATGGGATGAGGGTGCTACACCAACTACTTTGGGTGCAAGGATCCTATTAGGTTGCTTGCTTGCATCTGTCCCCCCAACCTCACCTCAGGAATTGTGCACTATAGTTCTTGACCAACTTTGGCCCTTCCATGAATCCAACCTGTATCAGCCACAGGAATGTGGACTCAAGTGGTCGCACTTGCTGTCAAGTTGGCCCAAAGTCCAGATCTCAACCCAATTGCAATGCTGTTGTGGGACTTAAGTTGGACTTAAGTCGCACCAGTGACTCAACTTAGACTTGATTTGGATTTTTGTTATCAGCCACAGGAATGTGGACTCAAGTTGGGGCACTTGCTGTCAAGTTGGCCCAAAGTCCAGATCTCAACCCAATTGCAATGCTGTTGCGGGACTTAAGTTGGACTTAAGTCGCAGCAGTGACTCAACTTAGACTTGATTTGGATTTTTGTTTCAATGATTCAGATTCAGCTCTTGCCTCAGAACCTACGCACCCCTCCATTTTTTCTTTGGAATAGAACTTGGTTTTAATAGGGACCCGAACTTGAGGTTTGGGACTTGGCACCAAACACTCAGGTTCAGGCTTGGGATTCAGACCCAACAACTTGCCAGAATCCCTGATCAACCAATAGCAAGAATTAAAAGATAAAAGAAAGTGGAAACTCTCTCTCTCTCTCTCTCTGTGGGTGTGTGTGTTTAAACAAATCTTCACAGCAGTGAATTATCCATGCACGAGAGCAGGGCCATGGAAACACTGGAGGTCTGGTGAGTAAACTCTTCAATACTGTTGATTCAAATGGGCCTACTCCTGTTGTGACTCACTTTAACATAGGAAATTTTAACTAGAGTCATTTGAATCAATGGAACTTACGAAGGAGTTGGCTCACTTAGTCCCCACTGATTCAATGGGCTTACTCTATTGTGACTTACTGTGTTAAATAACAAGATTTCAGCCACCTAATTCTAACTGGAATGACGACTCTGGACATCTGTGGCTGGTCTAATGAGTGATGTACCATGATCCCCTTGCCATGCTTGGAAGCAAATTGCCTGTTTAAGCAAGTAGATGGGGAATAAACAGAGACAATTGAAGTCAGTCTGAGCCCCACCCCAGGACTCAGCTATTTTTATGTGAAAATAGGTTAACAGCTTCTAGGTGAAATGTTTCCTTCCATACAGGCTTCATCTATCAGTTTCCTCTTATTTTGGTGCTACTTTCTTTTGGTAAAGCAGCTAATGCCAATTTTTGTTTCCAATTTTAAGCATTTCTAACCTAAAAATGCTAACTTAAATTTTATTAATTTGTGCAAACTGACCCAACTGGGGGCCTTCTTGAATCCTGTAGCTGACTTGGAAATGCACAAATGCCCCTTCTCTCCTCACTTGAACATTTTTAAAGCTAGTGAACACTTCTACAAGCTATATCATTTTGTAAGGATACTCAACGGCATGAATAACATTGGTACTATTAAAGATACATCAGCTAAGAACATATGGAAGAATAATTTTTGGAAGACTGTTTTGTAGACTTAAATAAGATCCACTTGCAGTAAAAATACCAGGGTACTGTATGTTCTGCTTATATTTAGAAAAACAGATAAAGATGGTACTAAAGAATTTTTCAACTTTCATAATGCAATTTCAGAATCTAGAATATGGAAACATACCTCTGCTTGTAACTGGAATATCTTCATATCTTTTGGGGACCTGGCTTCAGTGTCTTCCTCTAAATACTCCACAGATCTTTCCACCTCAGTCTGACATAAATCATTATGCACACCAAGCTAAAAGACAGAGGTCAACTTCATAAATGAAAATATTATTGTTGGTTGCAAATACTGTAAAATTCCACTGTATTTGCTAGATGACTTTGTCAAGAAGTGAAATTTTATATGTACACAGTGTTAAAATAATTGAAAGTATGGAAAGAATGCTTTTGGGAATGAAGCTTGAATAGCAGTTAACTGAAGTAATTGTGAGGCAATTAACCAACTCTCCAGCCAAGCAAGGTCACTATACCATGGCATTCCTGACAGCTGAACATGTTTTACAAATGATAAAAAAGTGTAAACAAAAGAGAAAATTGAAAGCATCTTGAAATAAGTAGAACCTATTTATGTTGCAGTATGTTTATATGACCAGAGAAGGTATTTGCAAGTTCCATAACTTGCACTGCCTGTAGTTACAGTATTCTGGTTTTACAGGAGGTTCATGTACTAGATCTTTTATGTTACAGAGCTTTATTCCTTCAGGTTTTGTAAAATTTAGTTGCCAAAATAATGTTTATCATCATTATGGCAACCATCCAGATTCTGAGTTACAAGCTCTTGTGGATACAGAGGGTGCAGGAATTATAGAAATTCCTATTACAAAATTTATCTTGGTGTACCAGGCCCTTGGACTTACATGCCCTACAGAAATGATTGTTGACAGATTGGGAGGAAGTATGCACCTCTGAGAGAACTATAAATATAGGGAGGTACACATACGACAACATTCAGCTCATCAACACAAGACAGCAATATGTCATGCCACATGCACCAGATGTCAACAACAATTATGTGTCAATAGCAGCAACACTGGCAATTGATGAGGACAACATGGATTTCCCTCCATAAATTCAAATCGACCCGGCTGGTTGAGCATTGAGAATATTTTTCATGCATGTCTAGATATGCTAAAAGATTAATATATTTTACTTTCATAGATTTTAAATTTTAACAACTTTGATATTTTTTGAGATGCATTCTATAATTTTTCAATGTGCTTTTTCAGGCTATAAGCTTCTGTGTTTTTAAAAGCTCCTGCAATTTTATAACATAGTTATAACATAATTTAAGTTCTGATTACAACTTAGGTTTTGTTTGCAAATTCTCATAGTTGTAAGAATTTTGGATGGCAACCACGTCTGTAGCTTTTCACAAGTTGCAAGGATACATTTCTGTTTAAGCATTTGTGCTTACCGTTTTTCTCATAGCTGTAAGAATGTTTTCAATACATGTTGACTTGCAACATTTTAAAGTAATTTTTGAAAATATGGCAATAGAAGCAATGTAAGTAAATAAAGCTATAGAAATGCCTTGTTATGGCAGGGGATGGTGCTTTCTGTTTTGAAAGTACATCCTTCAGAACCCACTTGACACTAATTCTGAAGGATCTGCACTAGATGCCAATACACTTTCAGTCTGAGTTAAATTTGTTGAGAGTGGCTTATAAAGTGCTAAACAAATTGTGACCTGGGGCATTCTAGCAAATAATGCCGGCTGAATTGCACATGTTACTCCTTGAAGCTCAGTACCTATAGATTCAATCCTATGTGCAGTTAGGTGAAAAGTTGTCCCACTGAACTTGGTGAACTTGAATTTATAGAAATAAGTGAAAGAAATAAACCTTGACTATAGTCACATACAGCTGTTATCTTCCTTATTTAATTTCACATACATTAGAACTGAATTTGATTGAGACTTACTGGATTATAATTTACCGTTGAAAAAAATCTACTGTAGCTCATACAAAACCAGGATTTTACTGCATTTCCACTCTGATTTAAAATATTTTTCTTCTTGCAAAACACTGAAAAGGAGAACTTTATTTGAGAGCAGGTAAAACCACAAACCTAAGTATTAACCTGATTCATTTCCCGTGCTTTTGGGAGCATCTCAAATTGATATTCTGCAACTAGGCAGGGGGAAACTGGAACCCCTGGCGTTCATTCCAAATGGGATTTCTAAAATCATTAGCATGCTTTTCTGGTAGTTGATTGGATTATGACAGAAGAAACTGGCAGGGGTGGCAAGAGTAATAGATTACACAAACTGTGTTCAAAACCCTATGTAAATGGAAAAAATTGTTTTAGGCAAAGGGATTATAGCAATTATTTCTTCTAATTTAATTTTAAATCTCTAAAGGGCAGCTGCTGTGGAGTGTTCTGAACCAAAATATCTGAAGTAAAACATGAGCTTTTCATCTCTTAATTTGTCTCAATGACATCCTAACTCTGTTGGAAGCAAAAGTGTGCTCACCAATTCCCACACGTGCTTCAAGGTTTCAAAAACAAAAATTTGGTTTACATTTCAAAAGGCAGTGCTGTGCCTCTGTCTAACACAAGACTTGAAACAACACAGTATTACTGGTGCTCATTATCCTTTCTTAACACATAAGGGAAAATTGACAGAGAGAAAGGCTTGGTCTTTGTTATTCCAAGTTATACATACTTGTTTCATATTTAAAGAAAGCAACAATTAATTATCATCTTCTCCCTTGCACAGGGAGCTTTGATAGCATTTACAGAGATCATTCCTGATGAAAATATCCCACTTCTTACTTTCACATGTAACATATAGGACAAAAATCTTGAAGTTAGCAAAAAGCCTATTTACAACAAAGTAGGAATTCAAAGAAATAGGTAGACAGAGAAAATTAGGGAGGAAACAGCAGGGGAGGGGGAGACAGTAAAAGCTTCCAAAGTCTCTATTATGACATAAAACCAGCATAAAGGGAAGGCACTTCAATTGATGATCAGTGATTAAGGGTACTTTGATTTTTTAAAAAAAGAATGAAGAATGCTGCTTACATACCACCCCATAGCACTTAAAGCACTCTCTGGGCATTTTACAAGTTAATTATACATATTGCCTCTTCTCCGTCAAGCTGGGTACTCGGAATGATGGAAGGATGAATGAACCTTGAGCAGCTGCCTGGGATCGAACCCGGATCATGAGCAGAGGTTTGGGTGCACTACAGCAGTTTAACTACGATGCCATGAGGCTTGACCCATCTTTTTGTTTTTTTCTCTCTCCCGCCCCCCCTCCCCCATCGTCCACTGATTATGTACAGACATTCCTCTATTGAAGCCTGCCTGGTATATATTTGAAGTCCTTAAACAGAGAAGGAACTATCACACCTCGCTGTAGGTGAAAACCAGTGACAAGTGAGCAATGTGCACATCTAAGCAGACCATTCAATTAAAAAAAACCACTAAAATCCTTGATATTCTTGCAAACTTTGTATCTTCTCTTAACATCTTCAGATGGCTCAAAATTGAGGAAAAGTATCTCAATATGTTCATTTCTGGAAAAACTGTGGTAGCTCAGCTGAGATAATCCACAGACAGGGGAGGGAGATATCTTTATTAGACCACAAAAAAATTACAAATGGATGCTAGCTTTTGACCCATCAGGCTACAGCCGGCTTAAGTCCCCTAGTTTGGGCTTAAAGAGACAAAAAGGGGTGCTGATAAAAATTGCTCTGTGACACCAGCCTAGGGAAATGGTTTTCAAATCATGTCAGTAATTTTTATGACACAGCAAAGCTCTGGACACAGACACAGCCCCATGGAGAAGGGTTTGGAAAAAAATATCCTTCAAAAGAAGGGGTGGAGGCAATAAAAACGATCACAGTCACTTTGAGTGTGGTCCTCTCACAATCAGCTCCTCAGAGAAGATCCTCTGAAATATAACTCCATAGAAGGAAAGCAAAATTACCAGGGACAGACTCTGAGAAGAGCAAACCTGTTACATAATCAGCTGCTGGTGACAGTAAGAACAACAACTCCAGATGTTGATTCTAGGCCCTGCATTAACTGGGGTGGGTAGGCTGGGGGGAAGAAACCTGTGCCTTTAAAAGCTACCTTGAAAAAGTAAGTAGAATAGATGCAGTATATTATGCTGAAGCAGGAACACTCTCACCTATGTAAAATCTCTCTTGTTTAAAACTACTGAAGTTCTCCTCTCCTTTAGGGTGCAATTACACTATAATTTGCCTCCCATTTTTTTTATGGAGTTGGCACAGTGCCAGGGCTTCTGTTTTTTTGTTTGTTTGTTTTGGCACATTCCTTATTATCTTGTTATGTAGCCTGTGCAGATGGTTAGTTCACATCCTCCTTATTATCCTGGTTTGTAGCCTGTGCAGATGGTTAGTTCACATCCAAATGGAGCTGTGGGTGGTGTTATCTGAAGTGGCAACCCTGTGATGTGTTTGGTGGGTTGTGGCATTGAAAGGGAAGAGGGAAACACCCTCTTTTATTTTCATTTTTTGCTACCACATTAGTTTTTTTAAAAAAATATTTCTCTATTGATGATGCTCTGTTCTAGATAAATGAGATACATTGGTGGTACTATGTGTACCATGCTAGGTAAATGCATTGCTGTTTCGCCATGTCACTTACTTTATTACTTCTTAAATCACCATGACCCATTGAATGATGGCCATGGAAAAAGGCAGGGAAGAGGCTATGTCAACACCCCCTCTAAATTCATCAACAACTGATAGTATATCTCCCCCACCCCCTTATTTTTGGCTTAGTGGCTGGTTGAGAGGGAGGAGATGTGTGAAAATTAAATAAAAACAACTGCTAAGAAAACCAGCTGCATTTGAGACTGGCTTTCCTTGACCACATGAACACACACATTCTTGAAGACCAAAGTGCCTATCTTGGCATCCCTTGCTTAGGCTCAACCCTCACAAGGCAGTGCAGCCCCACAGGGACCTGTCTGAGGAGAAAGGTGGGGGAAAGTGGGGTTATCTCCCTTCTGCCTCCTTAACTTTCACCCCAATGTTTTCCCCTCACTCTGCTGCTGTCCTTGGCTGTTGCTGCTGCCTCCTTACTCACAAGTTAGCCAGCAATCTAAACATTTATCTGGACCCTTCTTATGTGAGAATTTCTGCTGTGTGAACAGAAAGATCACTCAAGAGCAAGATAAAAATCACACTGACGATATGAACCTTTTTTTCAATATCAACTAGACTACTCCAAATTTGTCCATCTGGACAGGCCCTCAGTAGAATTTAGCAAAGCCAAAGACCTAGCCTAGCCTGATCTTACCTGAGAAGGTAAGTGAGCCTGTTGACCATGGCAGTAGTGGAATGGGGTAAAACATACATAACTACAGTGCCAGGAGTCAGGATGCAATAAACATTAAATGCATGCCCAGGTAGTTCCATGTGTGTATTGCAGATTTCTCTTATTACAGCAGCTCTTTCTGAGACTGGTCACAGCAGATGGACACACAATTTCCTGGGCAGATTTTGGCAAGAAGAAAGCACAGTGGACTTTGATAGGCAGGCAGAATCTTAGTGGTTTGAAAACATGTTCAGACCTTCTACCTGCAAGTGTCTAGATCCCACCCAAAGTCAGAATAAGGTTTCTGTACTTTGCTAAATAGAATTCATTTAATGTTTTCTTATCTCCAGTAGATTGAAAAGGAAATTCTGTCTGATACAAAAGATCTTCTCCTCTCCGACCTTAGCTCTCACACTTTACTATCATTGGAAAAGCCTCCCAAAGTGGCCTATGATGATCAATAAGATTCCTAATCTGTATAGTGGAATGTGAACTTGATATAAAAATTCAAAATAAATTAACAAAGAGTTGTGAAAAAACAGAATAAAATATGCAAATAGCTACCTATTTTGGAGAAGCCACTTACAGCATACTCATGCTCAAATAAAATCTAGTGCAGCATATATAGAATGGTTTAGATTTTACAATTGCATCGCAACATTCAAACATCTAATATATACAGCAGAAATACCCCCAAATTTGATTGGTTTCCTTGTCATTTGTTATTACTTCAAACTCAAATTAAAATTATATTTTTCTAAATACTCACATATACAAATCAGCTGGATCAGACCAAGGAATCATTAGTTGAGTTACAATGGTACACACACTTGTGATTATTTAGAAACTCTGTGGCACTAGTTAAACAAAATTCAGACACTGGGAACTTCCAGATGGATGGGGAATGGCTCCAAACTCTCACAACTGAAAAGGCAACTATTTTGTTCCTTTTCCTTAATGGATTTTTTTTTCCTGGTGAGATGAAAAGTGGAAGGAGCCATAGGAAATCACAGAGAACAACAAATTGAAGAAAACAATTGTCTGGACCTCCTGTAAACTGGGCCTCTCAGGCTGGTGGAACACCTTTCCAAGGATGTTGGCCCTTCTCCCTGCAGTTCTGTTATTGAAGTCAAAAGTCCTTATTAAGCAACTTACAGCCTTCTGTGGAAGTCCCCCCCACCCACCACTTTTAATGTTTAAAATTGCTTTTAGTTCCATTGGGTTTTCTTTCTTTCTTTCTTTCTTTCTTTCTTTCTTTATTTATTTATTTGTTGGACTTATATACCGCCCCATAGCGCTACAAGCACTCTCTGAGCGGTTTACAATTCAATTATACAGGCTACACATTGCCCCCCCAGCAAGCTGGGTACTCATTTTACCGACCTCGGAAGGATAGAAGGCTGAGTCAACCTTGAGCCGGCTACCTGGGATTTGAACCCCAGGTCGTGAACACAGTTTTAGCTGCAGTACAGCGTTTTAACCACTGCGCCACGAGGCTCTTGCAATTTAATTGTGATCTGAGCTTATAACTTGGGGCACCTTTAAGAAATTCTTGCTGTGAGCCACCTTCGGTCCCAAAGGAGGGCAGAATATAAATCAGATGAATCCAGGAGCTTGGCAGTTTGATCTCCCTATAAAGCCTTTTGTCTAGAAGCACTGTTATCTGCTTCTTTTCAGTCTGATTTGTCAATGGAATCTAGTTACATCTTCTACAAGATTTTCTGGAGGCAAACACATTATTTCATCTACCAAAACAGGACTGTATAATTGTTATTACAATTAACTGAATCTCCAAATGTCAAAGGCAGCTTATTTTTAAAATAAAGTTACCTCATAATGAGCAAGTTTACTCCCTCTGTTATTTGGCAAAAGCATTTGCAAGGCTATACTGCACACCGGTGGCGAATCAGGGAATGAACATATTTCTATTTTTGTATTCTTTTTTGTTACTTCACTGTGATGAAATAGTTCTCAACTACTCCTTTTACTGGATCAGCAGAAGGTAAGATATATCCATGTTTAACAGCACAACCTAGTGTATGCCTGCTTAAAAACATGACTCAGAAATCTTAATGGGACATGCACAGGATTGCAACTGTGAGAGATAAAGAAACCTGGCTCTGAATATTAAGTTCTTATGACTATTTGCATGACTACTATATGAATATTACTCAAAATACGAACATATATGAAATATAAATATTTTTTAGATTTTGTGCGAATTTTGCTTCCCTTCTCAAATGTCTAGGACTATGTGTTGTTGTTATTGTTTTAACATACATATGACCTGGATCCAAAAGTGTCGTCAGAACATGGGAATATACTTTTGGGGAGGCAATTCAGCAACCCCAGTCAAATCTATTCTACTGTAGTCACCAGTATTCACCCCAGTCCATTTCTTAAGGTCCCTCAATTGACAAGAGTACCATGACGGGGGTCGGGGTTTCAGAAGGCAGCAGTTTTCAGAAGATCTTATAGAATAATCAGAATTGCACTCACACTTCTCTAAAACCAGCCACATATGATCTAGTTTTGCTGTTATGACATGTAGACATTTAACATAATTCCTTGGGCTTGAATAACTCTGAATGTTACTATCCCGTATATTATATACCTCTTTTAGATTACATGTATTATTAAGAGTCAACTCAATATACCCAATATTTTAATAAATGCTGACGTTTCCCATTGACTTCCAGTTTTGTATTATAGTAGCACAGGTGATTAATCATAAAATTAATTACATGTTCTGTGACTGATAGATATCAATGGAGAAAATAATTCATGCAGCTCTTCCCATGTTATGATTTCATACACCTTTTAACTAGGATTGCTTATGAAACTTTCCCTGTACAAAATGCTCTCCCCCACCCCCGGTTGGTTCCAAATGTACTGTTTGGAACAAGGGATCAAGATGTTATCCATTTGCTATTCTCCTTTTCTAGAGCTTCAGCTTCATACCAACCATACCCCCCTTTTTTCCAGTGCACACAAATACCCTGACATGAAGAAGCTGACAACAGTGCAATGCCTTGCACAACTAATTCCAGAATAAGTTTTAGAGTTTGCCCGTTTTAAATCAGGAAACTGGTGCAAAATAGAAGTAAGTCATAGAAAAGCAATGAAACTGGGAGAGAAACCCAATCATTTCTATTTAATATAACCCACAATTTCTTGGAGTTTTGTGGTATGCAAAAAATAATGCTTCCATATATTTTTTCCCGTTTCCCATGGCAACCCCCTATTGCAACATACCTGTTTTAAATTCCCATGCTTGTACTTCTGCAACTCCTCAGATTTCCTTTTGCACAGAGATTTTTCTGACTTCACCTTCTCTATCTCTTTTTCCAGGGATGAACGGATCCTGCAGTGTAACAAGAATAGTCAAAGACTGGTGTTTTAAAAAAATTACAGTACCCAATGTCTATATTGTTTAACTTGTGCTGCTGTTGCTGTTCTATTAGCACAGAGGGAACAACATTTTCAGAGGCAATGAGCAGCTCATTCCTGAATCTAGGTGAGCCAGAATATGGGCAATTTCGCTGATATAATCATATCAGCTTCTGGTGGGCTGTATCAAAAGTCGAAGCACATTAGAATAAAATCATACATAGCTGTACTTCTGTGGTATAATCCCATCATCTCTGGTAACTGATACTTAAAGAAGTAGGTAGCCAAGGCTAGTGCCACTGTTCCTTCCCACAATTTTTGCCAAATCATATTCATTTAGAAAAAAAAAACATAGCCGAGATCCAATTCAGGAGAGTTTGAAGTGCTTCAAAGCAAAAGTCCTTAGTGACATAGCTAAGCAGGATGAGGGGGAACTTGGTTGTCCAGCCAACTGGAAGTGTAGCACTGCCATCTGATGGCTGCTTGTAGGATGTCAGAATTGCAGCTGGGTGCTCAACTGGCACATGAATCAGCCCCATTATGTCACTAGGCAATTTCATCATGTCCAGGAGATGCATGCACATAGATGTCAAATAATATTAATAATTGTGTGCTGTCAGGTAAATTCTGACTTACGGTGACCCTTTCCAGGGTTTTCTAGGTAGAGAATACAAAGAAGTTCCTTATCATTCCCTTCTTCTGGAGGCAACCTGGAACTATGCAGCTTGCCCAAGGCCATACATGCTGGCTCTTCTCTTAGGAGACACAATGGGGAATTGAACTCTCAACTCTCTACAGATAGATACCTAAACCCCTCAGCTATCCAGCCAACTACAGATGTCTAGGATGGATGACTCTTCACAAGAGAGAAGAATGTAGAACTGTGGAGGCTTGAGTGAATGGTGTGCTACAATAGGATCCTTTTGACCCATGTCAGTGGGACTGTTCTTCTGAGGCCATTCTGTACAGACTTCTAGAATAGTGTGGAAAGAAAATCTAGAAAGCAACTCTGATGCCATGGCACATACATCTGAAAATGGCTCCTGGTGGTTTGTGAACTAGAATGTAAGTAATTCAAAGTACAGAATAATAGAATTTGGTCTCACAACAAATCTGAAAAATGCAATATTTTCACCCAATTCAAATCAGTGCCTTGAAATATTTATGTACCTGGCATTTGGTAAAAGTTTTTTCTTTCTTTCTTTCTTTCTTCTTCTTTTTTTTTTTGACTAGATAATAGCAGAAAATAGACATGAAGAGTAATGTACTTTTAAATTCCACCAATTTCAGTGGAAGACCTTGTGAACATGCACTTCTGAAGAATGGTTTGGATCATTGCTTTAGATAATATTAGTATTTAATATCTTCTTTCCATGTTAAACTGGGATGGAATACAGTATCCATGGCAACATACAATTTCAAGATCCTAATCTCATAAAATTAAATAATGAATAATTCCAAATAGTACTGATCATCCATATCTTTTCTTTATTCCATATAAGAAATAGCAGTTCTTGTAATATCTTAGCCTCCCCTTTCTGGCCATTATTTTAAAAAAGATACACTCCAACCTTAATGAAAGAAATCTACACTTATACAATGTTAACTATTCATTTTTCTTCAAGACAAAATGATCCTGATATTCCTAACCAAATGAGCATAGTGCTATTTCTTTCCCATATAGATCAAGATCCTGTTCCCCATTGGCAGAGTGGAAAGCTCCATTGGTGTGCTAATGAAGTTCTTTCTGTTTACCATTGTGCAACTGGGGAATACCTGTTTTGAGTAGCTTACATTAAGGGAATCCAGGTTGCCCTTTGCAAAGATGGCAGCTGCAGCTTCCCTAACCTAAATGAAGCCACCATCTTTGCAAAGGGCAGCCACTCTCCCTTTTTACATGCTGTGGCTGGGAGGCCAGATGGAGACCTTGGCAGCAGCAATTCAGGTAAGGGGGTGTTAGTGGGGGTGGGTGGCTGCCTATTGGCCAC